AAGGAAGGAAGGAAGGAAGGAAGGAAGGAAGGAAGGAAGGAAGGAAGGAAAGAGAGGAAGAAAAGAATGAATGGACAGATTTCGGATTTTTGCGGTTCCTTCCCGCACCATCTCCTGTGAGTTCATTGGGCTAAGGACCAGGGAATGTGGCCTGCTCTCCGCTGTTTTCCCCCTGCCTGCATTGTCCTAAGCAGTCAGTCCAACACCGTGGGGTGCAGCCCCTGCGATCGGCCTGTGCCCACCATCCCTGTGCACTGTTTATCCAGCAGAAGAGAGGAAGAGGCCAGAAGAGCAGGGAGGAAGTGCCAGCTGGCCCGAAAGAAGAGCTCCTGAGCAGCTAGCTGATGGGTCTCACTGGGGGTTTGTGCCCCCTCCTCCTCCTGCTTAAATTCTTCCCTTCTCTGGCCGGGGCAACACAATCCACGGCTTATTTGCGCTGCCACCAAGGTCCTTTGTAAGAACCCCAACCCCCTCTCTTGGCAGGGGAATCCAGGCCTACAGAGGAGCTGCCTCCAGCCTCTGGCAAAACAACATTCTCTCTCCCTCTCCTCTCCTACATCTCAGAAACTATTCTAAATCTTACCAAGGCGCCATCCTGGAGTCTTCCCTACAGGAGAGTTCTGGGCAGCGGCAGAGGCTCATAGCCTCATGCAAAAGTTCTAATGTGTTTGCCTCCTTCTCTCTTCTCCTTAAGCCATGCCCAAATAAACGCCACCATCGTCTAAATTAATTCTGAGCACTTCATGGACATTACCCATTTTAATCCTTTAAGAATGAGGACTAGCCGGGCGGTGGTGGCACACACCTTTAATCCCAGCACTGGGGAGGCAGAGCCAGGCGGATCTCTGTGAGTTCGAGGCCAGGCTGGGCTACCAAGGGAGCTCCAGGAAAGGCGCAAAGCTACGCAGAGAAACCCTGTCTCGAGAAAAAAAAAAAAAAAAAAAAAAAAAGAATGAGGACTAGGGCTGGAGAGATAGCTCAGAGGTTAAGAGCAGTGGCTGCTCTTCCAGAGGTCCTGAGTTCAATTCCCAGCAACCACATGGTGGCTCACAACCATCTGTAATGAAATCTGGTCTGAAGGTACACATGCAGGTAGAACACTGTATACATAATAAATAAATAAATCTTTAAAAAAAAAAAAAAAAAAGAATGAGGACTAGCCGGGTGGTGGTAGCCCACACCTTTAATCCCAGCACTCGGGAGGCAGAGGCAGGTGGACCTCTGTGAGTTCAAGGCCAGTCTGGGCTACAGAGTGAGTTCCAGGAAAGGCA